CAAAAATACTACAGCGAGCACAAATGCTCACACACGCAAACACACTTACGCATATGATTGACAATGTTACCTGTTAACATATTCGAATGCAATGGCATGCCAGCGGCAACAACAGCGAGAGCGCACTTGTCACCAAGGAATTAGACAGGAGAAAACACATTTTTGAATGTCATCATAAGTGAAACGAAATTCGAATTCCGAGTGTTAGGCGCGGTTGGCGATGAAGCATTTACAGCAACATTTATGCGCACGTTAGCTATCGCTGCTGAAACTCGACATGGGACTTTACGTACTCGTACAAGCATAAATGCAAATGTTTGTATTGACGCATTATGAATGCACACACATAGAGATATACTGATATATGTTTTCTATACTAATGACCTTCGCGTCCGCATGCTCCTGACGTTGCCTTTGGCTAAATCGAGTTGCAGATTTGCGCCAAAAGACACTTAAGTAGCTTAAATTATTAAAATAGAATTTAAGTTGGCTAACAAAAAATGTCAAGTAAATAATAAAAATAAATTCGGTGCAGTTATGCTTCGTAGGTCTGCTGGAAAAATGTGGCAGGGTGGCAAATTGAAAATGTAACCGTTAAAAATGAAAATCTATGCCAAATTTCGTGATTATAATTTGTCAAGAAAAAAATTTTTCTACACAAGAGCTTGATTTCGTCCGATCAGTTTGTAACATATAGCAACTATATGCTGTAGTGGTCCGATCCAAACACAAGACACTAATCTACGCCGAATTTCGTGAGGATAATTCGTCCAATTAAAAACTTTTCTATACAAGAACTTGATTTTAATATGTTATTTTGTATGGCAGCTATATGATTTTGTGGCTCGATATCGGAGGTTCCGACAACTGAGTAGCTGCATGGGAAGAAAAGAACGTATGCAGACTTTTGGATAGATATTTCAAAAATATTTACGTTTTACAGAAAATATATTAAAAATTCGATAATATCAAAGTAATAAAAAAACATTACACATAAATTACCGAACTAATGGCCTTTTTAAACATTTCTTGACTCTAATTTAATTAAATAAAGAAATAAGAATTTTTTCATAATATTTAGGAAAATATGCCTCTCTATGCCAAAAAATGCAAGTTATGTGACCATAATAAATCCATAATTAGAATTTTGCAAGCCGTTAAACAACTCTTAAACAACAAATCTTAAAATTTTAAAGAGTAGCATGTAATAGTTCTTTTAAATCACTCGTAATTTTACTTAGAGCGCTTAAAATTTTGCAATGATCCGCAGAACTTCAGCCTTATAACCAGTAATGATATTTTACGCTCTGAATGTCTCTCAGACCTTAATGAGGGAGTTAATTCAAAAATAATAATTTTATAATTATAGATACATACATATATCCTAATCCTTAACTATTCACTAAGCTAACAAAGGCCCCACCCATTGAGGTTTACCCATACAAAATATTATATATATATATAAATAATGTCCAACAACAAATTTGGAATAAATATTGCATATCGAAATATACACAACGAAAGTTACGAATACGCCCTGCCCTGCTTCACAAAGCCACCAAGTTACGTATACGCCGTGTATGTTCATATTCGTATTGTTTCGAAATTTTGTCAGCTGTATTATTCTACTAAAGTCTTCGAATAGATGGCAACTAATGCAAATAATATTAAAACTTTTGCATTGTCATAATGCGTCAGCGACAACAAAAGCAGCACTGAAAGCGTAGATTCACCACAACGATAGCAAATACTTTGTGGCCTGTGAATCACTGTGTTAAATTGAAATATCAAGAAAAAAAGAAAGATCTTTAAGCGCTCATGCTGAATGCACTCAATTGTGAAAATTTGTATGATTTCCACTGCATTTGTGCGCCATTCGAGTGTGAAGGATAATAATGTGGCAGCACCAGACGTTGCAGCCGGCCCCAAATGCGCTTAAGCTGATGTCCTTCATTAGTGGGCAATCAGTTGACTATATTTTTAGCTATTTTAATCTTCAATGGAATGAAGTTTACTTTCTGCTGCGCAGCTATTTTTTATTTGTTTTGGATGCTTAGTAAAACTTTGAGAATTGTCGAAATTTGGAAGTATGTTCTTTAGGTATTTATTGCTAATACCAAAGTTAGGGGTGAGATTAGCATAAAACTTTAGGAGTACACTGTGCTTATAGGAAATTTATTGATTGTAAACCGATAAAATTTAATTTCAACTTTTGATGTACCATGAAAAGAAAGCGTATACGCTTGTAAAGGTTTAATTAGGTGTGAATATGTTGTAAAATTATTTTTTATCAAAAAAACTATATATACATAAATATTTATTCGAAATAAAAATATGAGATTTAAAAAAAATATGTACCTATATTTAATATATTTTTATACATAAAAAAATATTTCGCTTCATCACAATTTTTTACGAATCTTCATTATATTTAAAAATAATATATTTTTACATAACAAACATATTTCGATTTTACTAAAAAAAAAAAAAAATAAAATAAAATATATTAATAAAAATAATTTTAGAAAATTATATACATATATAAGAATTTAAAAAAATAGATTGTTTTTATATAGAAAATTTAAAAAAAAAGATTTAAAAAAATAGTTTATTATGATTAACATGTATGGATTTATATAAAAAAACTTGTTTCGATTCCATTATAAATATTTTACAAATATTCATTGTAATTGAAATGAATATATGTATTACGAATAAAAAAACAACATATTTCGATTTTTTTTAATTTATAAAAAAAGATTATATGTAAAAAAATATAAAAAAAGATGTATATGCACAATTGTTTTTTTAACATATTTAAATTTGAATTGGTAATTGTTTTTACTATTTTTTTTTTTGCAATAACAAAAATTTCACTTTTTAAAATGTAAATATAAATATTTTATGCTTGCTTTATTGCTATTAACCACTTATATTCATACTCAGCATGATCACACAGCTTTCATCAGCACTGGCATGCATTCAGTCACTTTTCACCCACTCTCTAAAATCCAACTAATCAAAACTATAATCCAAAATTTTATAATATTGTATTAAACTGAAAAAACTCTCTTAGGTGACACAAGTTTATAAATTGGAATAATGTTAAATTACTATCTAAACATTAGAAAATAAAATATTATAAACTGATAAAAATTTGTTTATTACAAACAAAAAAATTTTATTAAATATTAAAAAAAAAATTTAGTTAATCATGCATAATTTCGAAAATATTAAAATATATAGATAATAATAAAAATATTAAAAAGTTGTAAATTACTTGTTGGAACTTTAAATATACAAAGTTATTGTAGTTATATATATTAGAGCAAACAACCCGACTGTTTAGTGAAAATTTACAATTTTAAAATATTTTCTTTTTTATCAAAGTATTCACAAAATTTCGTAAAATTTTTAAAAAAATTTTAAAAATTCCTAAAATAAATCCTAAATTAAAAAAAAAAAATTGTTAAATACCTAAAAAATTAAAAAAAAAAAAAAAAAGTTCAAGAAATAACCCAATAACATTAAAAAAAAAAATCGCGTAACACAACTAAAAATTATTAAAAAATTAGATAAAACTAAATTTTTATATAAATTTCTTTTTTATTTCTTCTGAGCAAAAGTGTAAGCAAAGCAAAAACATATTGGCTAGAAGTTTTAAAATTAAGAAAATAAAAATTAATTAACTTGATGGTAAAATATGTTAACAAAATAAAAGAAAATATTTATTAGGCCTTAAAAATAAAAAATGTACCCTGAAAATTTAGTTAGCCACAACCTTGTCAAATGTAATACTATGTTTCTAAATTAATTAGTAGTATATACAAAACATTTTTCGTTAATATCTACTAAATCACAAACATTCTATCGCTTTATATAACATTTAAGTAATTTAATAACACATAAAAAAATTTACATACTTTTACAAACCCCAATATTTTTTATATCACATGAGTTCAGTGAAAATATAAATAAAATTTCTTTTATGGAAAAAAAATTTAATTGAGGCTTTTATATACAATAAATTTCAATTTTCAATTTTTTTTTTGTTTAAATTTGAAAATTAATATTAAAAACTAATATTTACTTTTTCACTATTTTATTTTACTTTAAAATTCTTGTGAAATTTTTTTTTTAAATTTGTGAAAGAAATTTAAAATTAAACAAGAAACATTTGATTTTATAACTTATTTTCAGAATTAAGAGTATAATCAGAAATTATAACTCAAACATTTTTTTTCAAAATTTTGATTTTATTTAATACAGAATTTTTGTAAATTAAACTATTTTTGAGGTGATCAAGCAGAGAAAAAGATGCATAGAAAATATTTTTTCAATAATTTGAAAAATTTATCTTCCAAAACCTTAGAATTTTTTTTATAAAATTTTTTGTTTATAAAATAGCAATTAGCAATTTTCACTGAACTCTTTTTATTTAAATATGATAATATTCACTGCGCAACCATTTTGAAAACATTTTTCAAATCTTTTTTTCTCAAAATAATTGTTATAAATAATTTTTGAATGAAAAAAAGATTGTTTTTATCAAATTTCATATTTCACAAAACTTCATTTACTGCATTTTGTATAAACGATTTATATTCTTTATAAATATAAATACAAATTTCATACATTTATAACAAAATTTTGCCAAAATTAACCAAATTAAGATCCTTTTGTAAATTTATTAAAAACCATATTTAAATTAAATGCTTACTAATATATACATATATATATATAACAAAGTTATATTTAACGTTTATTAATACCGAAAAACTTTCAAAATAACAGCTACTAATAAATTTGTATCTTCATTTACACCTCTTCTCCCTTAACCAACAAAAAATTACCCTTCGCCAAAAATACTCCCAACCCACCACTCAAAAAAAACACAAATACCAAAATACCCAACTCACACACACACAAACACAAAATAAAATTTTTTTAAATTAAAACCACAACAAAATCACACACCAAATTGAAACTGAAAAATTTAGGCCAATGAAATTGAAGACGAGCCGGAACCATTGAGCATGGCTTGGCCCGATACTGCCCGCAAACGTCTTACCTATATAATGGTGGCACCACTGCTAATACCCATGTGGCTGACGTTGCCCGATACGCGAACACCGCGCGGCAAGAAATACTACCCGGTCACGTTCATTGGCTCGATACTATGGATTGCTGCCTTCTCGTATCTGATGGTGTGGTGGGCGAACGTAGCCGGCGATACGGCACGCATACCACCCGAGGTGAGTTGTGAGGAAGCACACGTACATATACCCATACTTCTATGGCTGTGTAAGTGTGATGTGGATCATCCTTTGTTGTTTTTACAATTCTACTTTTTTTACTTTTATCTTCCTACATCATCTCATTACTATTTATTATTTACTAACTGTTTTTTTCCTATTCGACACACCCACTGCTTTGTCCAGGTTATGGGTTTGACCTTCCTCGCTGCTGGCACATCAATACCCGATTTGATAACATCGGTAATCGTGGCGCGTAAGGGATTCGGTGATATGGCGGTTTCCAGTTCAGTGGGTAGCAATATTTTCGACGTCACTGTAGGGTAAGTAACCATTTTTGATAGAAACATATTTGTAAGTGATTTTAATGAATTATGCCGAGTAAATATTATATTTTGCTGTCTCTAATTATTGGACTTCGATGCTGAGTCAGGATGAGGTGTTAATTTTTGATCTGCATGACAAAAAAAGGCTCTGGCTTTTGTCAAAGTTATTAGTTAAAATCGAAAATTTTTAAGTAATGATTATCCTCATAAAATTAGGGCAATCGCTCAGCTTCAAACGATTTTTGGGTATTTCTAAACTTCGCTTTTCAAAAGTTTAATATACTAGAACTATTTAGTTTTGAGCGTAATCTGACAGAAATTGAAATAATTAACAGATTTTTTAAACTTAACGAGCTCGTTAAGAACGATTCTTTGTTCGGAAGCTAACCAGAGAATAGCCTGAAATATTAAGTAGGACTCGATAATCACTGAGTTGGGCTCAATGTGATTTATTTCTATCTACTGGCGAATAGTTTGGAGCTTTTAACATTTCATAATACCTTCTCTAAAGGTCTTCCAATCTTACTGCAACCAAAGTCGAATCCGAACCTGCTACAACACGGATTACTAAATTACAATTTAAACCATCCAATTTCGAATCAAAAGAGAAAATCTTTTGAAAATAATTATTTTTCTTTTTTTGTTTTCGTAGGGAAAATCTTCAAAAGATACTGCCAATATAAACTTACAGCATGCACGATTTATATTTCTTGCTAAAGGTTTACCTCCTTCGGGACAACGCCCAGAAAGTATTATCTAACAATGCTAAACTTGTGAAACAGTACACGTTCCAAACCTTAACTCCGGCTGCTATAGCTTTTATTTTATTTTATTTTTTGTATTTTTTAGAAATTAGTTAATATAAATTTGTAAAAAACTGGACCTCCTGAAAACCCAACGACGATAAAAAGTCTATTTCAATCGTTGCTTGATCTGACATTGACTTGAATATCGAACATTTTCATTAGAAATATGATTTATTCTTCTTTGACATGACTTCTAGTATCAGAATTTGAATAGTCAAAACAGTCCAATTTGATCCTTCTGGGAGTTTCCGATTTGTGCATTTGAATTTATACATATACGAGTATATTATTCCCAGTCCATACTATTCTAATTTCGCTCTCCTCCTCAAATTAATAATAAACAAAAATCTTAGGGTACTAACCTTAGTTAGAAGACTATCAAAGTTTCATGACATCATCTAAACTTTCTTAAGTAAATTAATAGAATTGCACTATTAAATAGTATTCCTCTTACCGTTTTGGCCAGATTTGGACTACAGCGACCAGTTACCCTTTTCCAGGTAGCTCGCTCGGAAAATATTTTACTCAAATGAGGAAGTCAAGATGGAAACAAACTCTTGTTTTAGAAAACACAATATTGAAACGGTTTCGAAATGTTGGAGGACCGTTAAAACAAATGCATTACTCTAAAAGGAGATTATGTCGGATAATGAAGCCATATTTTCTATCCCGAGCGTGCCTTCACTGTTATACCAAGCACAAAAGCTAAAGAGACCTATTAACATGACAGTTAGGCCTACTTGGCTCGAAACGAACCCGCATTTAATGTGAATAAGGACTGTCAATGCGGTAGCTTTTCTTAAAATTATTCAGAGAATGTTTTCCTGCGACCGAAACAACAGTAACAATTATAATTGAAGGGCCCTAACAATTATTTTTTTTTTTCTTCTAATAATCAAAACAACAACAGATTTACACTTTTTTAAATATATGGAATTTGGCTGTTTCAAACGATTATAGATCTTTAAGATCAAAATTTTTGAAAATATATTTAAATAGAAACTTTCTTCTTTACTTTTAATGGGCGATTTATCTGTTTCGCGGAGTAAAATGAGGTTCTAATAGTGTACAAAGGGTTTTTTGATATCAAAAATACACTATAAGGATTGGCCGAATCATAAACGTCATTAAACAAAAAAAACACGTTAAGTTCGGCTGCACCGATCAAAATTAGTTATGTCTGAGATTGATAACACGTAGTAGAACTGACAAAAAATTAATTTACGATGTTTTCTCTCTGACATGGCTCAGAACCGTGTTAAATAATGACGTCGTTTTAGTGTTGTTACCGTTCTTCGATGCAGAGTATATTCTCTATATACCTCACCATTGACTCTTTCTTATATTAAATGAATCCCTTTTACTTTATTACTAAAAAAATATCCCCAGACCATCCTGCTGATTGGCTAGCGTACTGTGGTTTGTAGACATTCTCCCCTGAACCATTCGCCTGACCTTCTCCATACATGGTGGATACAATCTGTTCCAATTTTCATGCTCCTTTATCCATATATGCCACTGTTTCCTTATTCGTTGGCTCAAAAAACTTTTTTTCCAGGACGTCGGCCATGGAATACTGCCTCTCTGAGCCTGCGACGAACTAGTACTCCTGTCGTATCACTAAGGTCCTTTTTAATGTTTTACTAAGAATTTAAAGCGATCCAGTAGACGAGATCGTCGGATGAGCCCGTACTGGGCGACTGCCGTCTTTTGGACTCTTCCACACTCTTTTTCGGGCAAAAGAACCCATCTTCCGAAATTGTTTGATGAAATCTGTACAGTAGTCTGGCAGAGTCACACAGTGTCCGATATTTGTCTGAAGCTTTGATTATGATGTGGTAAGACTATTATTTGTCTGTTAGTGACGTTCATTTGCCGCCGTCTTGACATGCTTTTTATATAACTGAACTTCCCAAAAAAAAAAAACAAAAATTGAGGGACTAGTTGGCGTACTTACAAACATACGGGTGTCTCTAAGGTTTCTTCTGTATAACACCCTGTTCAGGATATAAAAATGTTTCCTGGTAGAATTCTAGATTCTATATCGACCACCTATTTCAGCCTACAATGTGACTTAGCTGCCAATGCGGTAGCAATCTCCGTACAGATATCTTCTTTTTTTTATTTGCATATTTTTGGCAACTAATGCTAATAAATCGCACTAAAGAATAAAATTTTGAAAAATTTTGTCCAAAACCAAATCCACAGCAACTGCGTTCAGAGCTTTACACATATGGCTTATCGCTTGAAAGCAAAAAAAGACACTTTGACAGAAATAAGCCGCAAAATTTAAGCCTTGTTAAACCTTGTAACCACTCAGCACTTAACCTTAACTTGATGTGCACATATAACTGCTACTTATAAACACACGTGTCTATATACACATGTGCATGAGCAGTTAGAGCGCACACCTACGTCAATTTAACTTTCGAGAGCTGAGCGTATGAAAAAGCCAGCCAGGAAAATTCACAAAAAAACCATAAATGTGGAACAATTGAAAGAACTTAAAACCTTACTTATAAGAATACAAGCATTAATGTACAATATGTACATATAAATATGTATATTTATATATGTGTTTGTGTGTGTTGGTGTACCGTTAAGCTGCAGCCAGCACAGTTAAGTCTCACAAACACTCATTAATACGCCATTCAACATTTGAAATGACATTGAATAATGAAAAAGTTCACAGGCCATACGAAATGTGCACACACACCACTGTAGCCAGTCAAAAAAAGAAAAAAACACTCGGGTATAGCGTGTGTTGTGAGTGAATGCATGTGGCTGGAATGTACATGGGTGCACTTATTTCTGCTCGTATAACCGAAATGTCAGTCAGTCGACAACAGAAGCAATCATGCATACACCCACACACATATCACAAGCGCCAACACACACATATAGAACATATGTGACTCGCGTGTACTGGCATATGTTCGAGACAAGCACAATCAGTGAGACAGTGACAAGTTGAGGTACATCAATTTTTAACAAAGTATCACAAATCTGTTCTAAAGCCGACCTATTCGCGTGCTTACGCATACACAGACACACACACACATGCAAATTGGTAGTTGAATTTGTGCAAAGCTCACACAAGCAGTCAAGTTTTTGCCCACAAAAATGCCTCTATTTCAATGACATTTTCTACATCAACTCAACTCACACACACATATAGACTCACACATACACATATATATCCTCATGCATATACTCACAAACACTAAGGCTCATATGCCGTTACTCAACGCGCCCTGTGCACCTGAGACGGGCTACTAGACCGTATGCCTAGTTACGCCTTGTAATAAAAAACGTATAAATTGCCGCTTAACAACAAAAACAACCACTACTACGACAGTAATGAAAGGTAAAACTAGACCTATACACTCAAATGCATACCGCGAAATTGTGTGAGGACATGAGTAGCAGCACATACTAGTATGGGATGGTGTGGTGAAATTTGAATGCAAACATTAATGGCGGCGTTGTATGGCAATTCATTCAAGACAGCGGTAAGTTACTCCCTAAAAAGCTAGAAAATTGTTAAATTGTTAAAATTAAACATTTTAACAAGAAAAGCAGTTTTTCTTTCGGGTTATTTAGGTCAGTTAGTAAGTACACTACGTTAACGCTATGTAATATATATCTCTAAATTTTCAAATTTCATTTCATTTTTTAATTCTAAACACCAGTCGCAAACTTGGAGTTTACCAATAAAATTTTCTCTTAATTGTCATTCACTCCGCAAATTACTTACAACTTTACTCTAACACGATAAACTCATGTTTAGCAGTAAACACTGCTTACAAATATGAAGTGTCTTCTTGAAGTAAACTCAATAACTCGCACACCTTCGCAAACTACCTTCAACTTAGCCTCATTATATCATACTTTAACACAACAAAGTCGTGTTTAAACTTAAGCACTGTTCAAAACCATGAAATATATTGTTATAGTAGTTTAACATTAAACACCACTTACAAACTCCGAGTTTGCCAAACAAAAAATTCTCTTAATTGTCATCCACACGCAAACTACTTTTAACTTAACCTCACTACACTTACGTCATAAACTCGTGTTTAACATTCAACTCTGCTTATTTACTCTTAACTATTGTTTTCTAGAAAATGAAGAAACAATAATTAGAGCTCCAAATTTTGACACATTGTCGACTGTTTTTAGATTTTAGAC